GAACTGCATATAGGAAAATAAATTATATAAAATTTCTCTAGAGCCATTTGGTAATATGGAGTATAAGCCTTAATAACTTGCATACCCTTTGGGGAAAAAGAACACTATTTGCAGGAATTTATCCTGAGAAAATAATTGAACAATCATGTAAAGATGTATGTTAGAAATATTCACAAAAGCATTATTTATACAGCAAACTATCTAAAAGTTTAACAGCATGAGGTTAATTAAACATGACCTGTTCAAACCCACAGTAGAAGACTATGCCTATATAAAATGACTAGATAAAATATTCTTTAAATGTATGGAAAGATATCCACAAGAAATGAAATGAAAACAGTAGATTACAAAAACATTTCCATTTGTGGTATTAAAAATGCATTGACAAAGACAATTTAACTGAATGTTAACAATGGATATCTTTAGGTGGTGGGATTACAAGGGCTTTTTTTTCTTTTGCTAATCTGAATTTTCTAAATTTTATACATTAAAATTTTACAGTAAAGAAAATTTATTTTGAGGAAGTTAAAGATTCAAGGACTCTAGTAGGTAGCAGTTGGTTACCTCTTTTTCATCCCCAGCCAGACCCTCTGTTAGAGGAGCATAAAGGATCAGGTACCCTGAGGCCCCAGGTACTGCGTCCCATCTGACCCGCAGACTGTTCTCAGTCACATCGTACAGTTCAAGGTCGGATGCCATGGGCAAAGAAACTGTAAGAGGAGAATTTTTTTAATGTTCAGCCATTTATAAGTGTCCTTGACAAAATGGAATAATCAAGAAACAAGACTGGCCATGTTTGAAGGGTAGAGAGAGAGTAAGGATAAATTGCAAGTTCCTGGCTTAAACAGTGCCAATGAAAAACAGGAAACGTTGTTGTTTTCAAATATAGTTCTAGGCCCTCCGTAATGTGGCCCTGCCTAGTCTTCTAACGACAATGTCAAGTTCAGGGCTTTCCTTACACTTGCAGCTCCTTGTACACACTGCTATTGCAGTGCCTACAGCACTTCATTGCACTGATTTGTTTGCATGTTCTTGGTTTGCATGCCTTCCTCTTAGTAGACGAAAACACCCTTGAAAGAGGAATTGTCATTGAAATATTTCTGCACAGTGAAGGCATTAACACTCACCTTACAAAATATTGTCAGTAATAAATCCAGCAATGTATACAGAGTGGTTATCATAGTGCCTGGCACATCGTTATTAGTTTACCTTGTTATTGCATGTGTTGTTTACATTGTTATTGTTCTATCAGAGGCAGATTTTTAGATCAATTTTGCATAGAGCCTAGCATATAATAAGAAATCAATTAATGTTTGAATAACTAAAAGCCTGGGTGACAGATTAAGACCCTGTCTCTATTAAAAAACAAAAAAGATTATCTCTTCCCATGATTCTCAATTCTCTGAGTAGGTGTGTGTGCATATGTGTATTGTGTATGTATGTTATCATGTATCTGTTACTATGATCATGCCCAGGGAAGGAATCATTAGTATTCATAAGCTTGTTTTAATTACAATGATATGAACAATGAAAATAGATGTAACATAATTATTTTGGTATTCTACTGGGCAGGAGAGCTATGGAACTCCTTCTCTACTTCTACTGACAAATTCAAGCACAGTTCTTGATTCATAGTAGGCATTTACTAAATATTTGTATAATAAATGAATGAATTTATTAAAATGCATTTTGTACCCTTTATCACCAAATCTCTCTTAAACATACCAGATATTTATAACATGCTTCTCAATACATTGCACCTGCAAAACTGCAGCTATTGAAGGGTCCATCACCACATACAGCATGACAACTAGTTTCTATTAATTTGATTCAGGATGTCCATCAATACAACCTAAGCAGAATTCCAGTTTAGGAAAGGCCACCTAAGCACTGCTCTACAAAGTTAGAAATGGAGTAGAATTAAATACATACGTGTAGTTTCAGTTCCCCGTAGGCCTTCACTAGCAGTGTGGGCATATATTGCAAAGACTGCTATCTGATACTCAGTTAAAGACATTAAATTTTTCAGCACTGTGGAAGATACACTTCCATCCACCACCACCTGTTTAAAGAACAGTTTGAGGAATGAGAGTATGGAATGTCTTATATGCAGAATTGAAATCAAAAGCAAAAATATCTTCAGCAAGAATGTTTCATTTAATATTTTCTCATTTGTGCCACATCCTCTTTTCCACTGTGGCAATTGACTCTCTTTGAAATCCTACATGAACTGATGTACCTTCTATGGAATATATTCAAAAATCCCTTATTAATTCATATCTAACAGAAATTATGTCATTGCTAGGCTAATTATTATCCTGTTCACATCCATTTAATAATAGTAGATGTGATATTTTTTCCATGGAGCTTTGGGAATCATTTAAAAGGTTTATTAGTCATGAAAAAGATAGAACCATTGGAAGCACTTTGATTTTTTTTTTTTTTTTTGGTCCAAATGATTTAAAACTCCATGATCTACTTCTCTAACACTTAAAAAATACCAAAACCCTGCCATAATACTGAAGAAAATTGTGAAACATATCAAGGTCAATCAGAGGTTAGAACAACAAAAAGAAAGGGGAATTTCATCATGTTTTAACATGTTCCCTATGATTGCTGTATCAAAGGTAGGAAATGGGAAGGATCCAGTCATCTGGCAATAGGTGTTCTCCCCTCTGTTGGCCAAACCATAAAAAATGCTGGCAACAGCTGCTTTATCATGGCTTTTCCATTGCACTAATCCTCATAAATGTCCAGGAAACTCCAAACCCTGGAGGACTAGTCCATTATAGGACCACATAATTTGGAACAGGCAGACTTCCCTAAGACAGAAAGCTCAGATTCCTCCCAAGCAGAAAGAATGCACAAAAGCAAAAGGGATTCTGGCCAGATAATTAGTTACTAATACCCTTTGCTTTGGAACTTATTAATTTTAAGAAGAAACGTAAGTTGTGTTAGAAATGCATGCCTTACCAGCTCTGAGGCTTGTTTGATGAAGAAATGAGAAAAGAAAGTATAAATGCCATAGCCCAGAGAGATGAGAGAACAATATGGACACGTGGAAATGTATTTCAGTCAAATTATTTAAAACGTCTGTGACAGAATAATCTCCTTATACATACATTTCTGTCTTGTTCCCACTACTGTACAAGACTTGAGAGAACAAAAAGAATGGTTTAAAAATACTGTCTCCTATCGCTTCTCGGCCTTTTGGCTAAAATCAAGTGAAAATACTGTCTCTTTATTACCTCCTCTGGTTTTCCACCTCTGGTGGGATAATACACAACTCTGTATTTTTCCACTCTTCCTGGGGCATGAGTCCAGTTAACCATAAAGCTTCTGGCAGTGACTTCAGAAGTAATCAATTCTGTAGGTGGCCCAATGGTGGCAAGGGCTGAGGCTAAATTAAAGAAACACATCAAGTAAACCTCTTTCCCAAAGTTATTTCCTATGAACCTAAGAAATGCCATTAGTCAGCAGTGACTATTGATTTCATACTGCCTCTAAGATTTCCATCTTTAGATATGTTGATTAAGTTATTCATTCTGGCATTTGTTCATTCAGACATTTAAGTGTGTATTAGGCACCAGGCACTATGCTAGGTTCTGAGGATACAAACTTAAATAAGACATAGTCCTTGACTCCAAGAAACTTTCTTCAATTGAATATATTGTAATAAAAACAAACATTAATTGAGCATGTATGCATCTAAACGTACTCCTCTGAGCCCTTTAGAAGTATTATCTCAATTAATTCTCCATAGTTACTATTATTGTTTGCATTTTGTAGGTGAGAGAACCAAGGCACAATGAAGTTAAATAATTTGATCAAGGTCTCACAATTAGTAAGTATCAGACCTGAGATTGATATCTGGGCTCTTGCCACAAGGAGCCTGTGTTTTAAGCACCAGAGGATATAGCCTCCATACTGAAGACTTCAATTCAACAAACGACTAATACCTAAAAATTCAAAAAGAAGAAAAAGCAACTAACATTCCGAATGTCCACTATAAGCTGAATACCATGTAAACATTTTGTGTCTATTATATGCATGTTAAAGTGAATAATGCTATAAAGATTTGGGGCAGTGCAAAGGGCAACACACCTAACCTAATCATCTGTACCACGGGAAGGGCGGAGGAGGGGACGGGTATTTGTATACACAAGGAGTGCAATGCGCACTACCCGAAGGATGGACATATTTGAAACACGGACTTCGGTTGGGGGGGGGAACCAAGGGCAACACACGTAACCTAAACATATGTACACCCATAATTTGCTGAAAAAAAAAAAAAAAAAAAAGATTTGGGGCATGCACAATCTGAGTGGAGAAGGAATACAATGTAAAAATGATAATAAAGAGTTTGAATGTTAGGATTTCTCACCCGTTAGGGGCGCTTACCCAAAGGGATCTTAACAATCAAAATAGTGAAAAACATAGCTTTGAACACTAACTGTGGCCAGGAAATGTATGACATGCTTTATCATCAACCACATGTAGAGTATTTTTGTAGGAAAAGGTAGGCTCTAAAGTAGTCCTACTCTGAAGCTCAGAAAACTTTGTTCTGAATCCTACTGCTTGGATGTCCAATCCAGCCCCAAGAGATCTGGTGCAGGCAAAGGGGGACGACAGAAAAGAGAAGGACACATAGCCAAATAGGACCATTTCACAGTCCTGGATACAACAGAAGCAAGGCATAAAACCAGACTCTTGTAAGAGAACTTGGCTACTACTACCCTCTTCTCAGATCACATCTCTATCAGCCGGTGTAACCTGCAGACCAAGGATATTGTGAGGGGAAAGGATAAAAAAATCCATGATAAATTTTCCCCCAGATAGATAGATGTACTTGACACTACTCCTTCGGGAAGTATAACTAAAAATCCTGGCAATTACATAGAAGACAAGCATAAGAAGACACTGAAAAGTAGACAGAAGATCAATGGCTGGGGGACAGCAGGACACAAGGAACAACACAGTGGTGAGTTCCCTTTTCCTGTTGGACTCCTACATCCCAGACATGGAGCTAAACTGTCTTGTAACCTGGAAACACCAACGGATACAGACAAAAAAAAAAAAAATGAAAAATAAAGAGAAGGAAGGAAGGAAGGAAGGAATGAAGGAGCAGGGGAGGGAGAGAAGGAAGGAAGGAAAGAAAGAAACAAGGAAGGAAAGAAAGAAAGAAGGAAAGAAAGAAAGAAAGAAAGAAAGAAAGAAAGAAAGAAAGAAAGAAAGAAAGAAAGAAAGAAAGAAAGAAAAACCCCAGCCCCAACAAAGCCTATTCTCTCCAGCCAAATAACGAGGAAATGGCCAGCCTACCCAGACAGAAAACGTTTAGGGAATAATTGCTCTACTCTAGACAAACAACACAGGAAAAAAAACTGTGGCCCCACCTTTGCCCATGCCAGCAAAGACTGAGTGGAGAGCCAAAAGTTCCACCCTTTCTTGGCTGTATTCAGATGCCTTAACATCAATCACCCCCCCTCACCCCAGTCAGGGTAGTGTAAGAGAAGATCAAGCAGGGAAGAGATATTCATCCCCAATAGGTGGTAATGAATCCTTCTCCCCTCAGCTCCATCTGTGATGATATCAGTGGAGACCACTCGAAGAGTCTTCCTGGGCTCCTAACCCCACCTGGTAGTAATGAGGCACCACTCGCCCTTCACTCTGATGGTGTCAGAGGAGACCTAGTGGTGAGTCAAGACTTTCACCATTGTCCAGCAGTAAGGGGGCCACTCTCACGGCAATGTCAATGGAGGCCAGGTGGGGAACAGTAATGAGGGCATCCTGCTCCTCTCATGGGGGGTATGAGTTGAAGCCTAGTGAGTAGCCCCTAGAACTGAATTAAAATGAAAATACAACATATCAAAATTTGTGGAATGCTGCCAAAGAAGAGCTGAGAAGAAAATTTATAGCATTAAGTACTTATATTAGAAAAGAAGCATCTCAAGTCAATAATCTAAGTTCCCACCTAGAATCTAGAATCTAGAATAAATAACAGCCAAATAAATTCAAAACCAGCAAAAGGAAGGAAATAATAAAAATATGAGCAAAAATTAATGAAATTAAAAACAGAAAAACAATAAAGAAAATCAATAAAACCAAGAAAGAGCTGATTCTTGAAAAGATTTTTTTTCTTAATGGACAAACCTCTAAGGTAGAAAAAGAAAAAAAAGAGAAGACACAGATTCCCAATATCAGGAAGGAAATGGGATAGCACTAGACCCTGCAGACATCAAAGGAATAATAAGAGAATACTATGAAGAACCCTGCACATATAAATTCTTCAAGTTTGATAAAATGCACTAATTCCTTGAAAAGCAGAAGTTTTCTTCCTACAATGGGGAGTAAAGCAAGGCTATTTATTCTCAATACATTTATTAACATAGTACTAGAAATCATAGCCAGTGCAATAAGGTAAAAAAAGAAAATAAAAGGTACAGAGATCAAAAAGGAAGAAATCAAACTATCTTTATTTGTAGATAATATGATTTTCTACATAGAAAATCCTCCAAAATTTAGAGAAAAATTCCTAGACTAAATAGCAAGTTCAAATAACAATGTCATAGCATACAAGATACATGGACAAACATCAATTGTATCTCTATTTACTAGCAATAAATATGTGGACACTGAAATTAAAAATACAACACAGCCAATATCACTCAAAATAAGATTAAATACCTAGGTGTAAATCTAACAAAACCTGTATAAGGCCTGTATCCTGAAAACTACAAAATGCTAATGGGAAAGAAATCAAAGAATATCTAAACAAATGGATAGATGTGCTATGTTCATGGATCAGAAGAATCAACTCAATAAAAATTTCAATTCTCCTCAAATTGATATTTGATAATTCATTTAGTGCAATTCCTATCAAAATCCCAACAAGATGTTTTGCAGAATAAAGATTATTCTAATATTTAACTGGAAGGTAAAGGAACTAGAAGGGAAAAAACAATTTTTAAGTAGAATAATCAAGTAAGGGAATTCAAGTCTATCCAATTTCAAGATTTATTATGTAGCTTAAGTAAATCAAGACTGTATGATATTGGAAGAGGGTTAGACACACAGACCCAATCAATGGAACAGATTAGAGAATCCAGAAATAAACTCACACAATTAGGTCTAACATACACTTGACCCACAAAAAATCCTGTTAAAAAATGAATCCAAGATATCAACAGACATTTCACCAAAGAGGATATACAGATAGAAAATAAGCAACTGTATATCTTCTTTGGTGAAATGGAGTTGCAAAGATGTTAAACTCAATAACCAACAAGGAAAAGAAAAATAAAAACCTAAGGGTAAAACAATAAAAAACTAACAAAAAGGCCAAAAAAAAAAAAAATAGTAACAACAATAAATGTTGGTGACCACATATAGCTCATATATTGGATAGCTCATATATTGCTAGTGGGAATGTAAAATGCTACACCCACTTTAGAAAATAGTTTGGTAATTTCTTAATGAAAACTAAAATAAATTCAACATGCAACCAGGATAGGATCTAGTCAATGTATTCCTGGGCATTATCCCAGAGAAATAAAAACTTATGTTCATATAGGAACCTACATAGGATTATTCACAGCAGCTTTATTCATAATAGCCAAGAGCTTTGACAACAACTCAGATGCCCTTCAATAGTTAAACAAACTGTGGTACATCCATACCATGGAATCTGACACTGTGATAAAACGGAAAGAGCTGTTGACAAATGCAACAGCTTTGATGAATCTCCAGAGAATTATCCTGCATGAAAAAAGCCAATCCCCAAAGGTTACATACTGTATAATTGCATGTACATAATATTTTTTAAATGAAAAATATTTTTAAAATGAAAAAAGCCTTAGAAATGGTGAGCAGATTAGTGGTTGTCAGGGTTTAGGGAGAGGATGGGGTGGGGATATAAGTGACAGTAGCTGTTGTAAAAGGACCACAGGAGTGATCCTGTGGTGATGAAATGTTCTGAACCTTGACTGTATCGATGACAATATCCTGCTTATCATATTGTACTATATTTTTGCAAGATGTTACCATTGGGAAAAGCTGGTAAAAAAACACATGATCTTTCTACATGTTATTTCTTACAACTTGGATGTGTAATTACCTCAAAATTAAACGTTTAATTTTTTTAAAAAAAGTTTCTAACATAACACTATGGAGAAAATCGTCCAGTGGTTAAAGTATCCCTCCCTCATGTCCAAAACCACCTGCCAATATACTCCCTTTTCTACTTCGATGACTAAGGTCTTAGGAGAAAAAGGAGTCTTTAAAAAGCCAACATGAAAACAATAAGAATTTTCATAATCTACAATAAATTTTTGTGCGCAGTAGTACCAACATCCACAGGACTGCTCTCTGTCACTCATTTTACCTTTAATTTCCCTGTCCTGTTCTTCCACTCTGGAGCAGACAGTCCTTGTCAGACTCTCTACAACCGTGTGCATCAGGTCAAATTCAGCAACGTTGTACACATGGGTGCTGTCCGGTTCTGAGGCGATCTCCTGCAGTTCATTCAGGTCCGCATTTTTCACCCCTTACATAGAGGAACAGAGGACGACAGGAAGGATGGTGACATTTATGCTTTATTGGAAAGAGCAACTGCAGTGGGCCTGCCCTGACCCAGTCGGTCTACATTGCAATCAAAGCATCATCTGCTACTTGAGTTTTCTTTTTTTTGGTAAGTAATGAAAATTTTATTTTAAAAACACATACATGAAAAGAAAAAATACAGCTAAATCTCGTATCTATTACATAACAAAAAACAATAGCTCTGATTCTAACAAATTATGCGTGAAGAAAGAAAATAAGCAAGAAAAGAGAACAGCAAGGATACTTATCATTGACAAGATGAAAGGTATTATGTGCCTGTGTCCTAATAAATGTCACTTGGGACCCCTATCTCAGAGGCTGGCTCACTTACCCTCCTCCCTTCTGATAGACCTGCAGTCTTGGACTTGGTCGAAAGCATTCCTCTTCAAAGAGGAACATTTTGTGTCAGACTTTTTTTTTTAAATCAGCTTCAGAATCATTTTTAAACGATTAGATATTAATTTTGCTTAGTATATCTTAATAGGAAGATGACTTGATAAAATTAACATCTGTCTTGTAGAAGCAATAATAATTAAACCAGTATTCTAAACTAT